TTTGACACTGCAACTGACTCACTGACAAAGACGGAAACAACTTTGGAAACATAACTTTTAACGACTCAAAAGATGACCAAGACGACTGTGCCATAAATAGACTTAACTCTCACAGGACGAACTCAAGGACTTTGTAGCCACAAGACCAGCTTTATTCTCTAACATGTAGAGACCATCCACCATACTTCCTCTACTAATCGTCTTCCCCGAGGCCAAATCCTGAAATACACGTGAAGACGGATAGAAAGTAACTGAACAGTTCAAGGAGTGAGTAATATTACTAATAGAAAGCAAATTTATAGGTAATTTAGGAACATGTAATACATTAGAAAGGGTTAAGGCCGAGTGGGAGAGATATGGTTCCTTAGTCGGCTATGGTGGAGAAAGAACCATCAGCTAGTCTCACCTTATCTCTCCCAGAGAGAAGATTGTATGCCTGAAATAAATTTGACTTACTGGTCATGTGGTTTGAGGCTTCGAAGTCAATTACCCAAGGGGAATCAGAGGTATGAGATGACACATGGAAGGCAGTGGCGGTGTTACGTGATGCAGACGCAAAGGAGGTAGAAGGAGTAGGACTAGAATCCATCTGGCGAAGAGTCCTGCCATATAACTCCAAATGGTCACGGAAGGAGTTGATCTCTTCCTTAGGGTTAGAACTGGGATGCCTTTCCTGAGTTACCATGGGACCAGTCTCTTGAGATGCCATATTAGCTGAGTTATACTTTTTCTGATTCTGCTGACTTGGTCTCTTGCCCTGATCAGTTGTTGACTTCTTACCCAAATCCTGTGCCCATTTAGGTTTTCCATGGAGATCCCAACATGTATCTCTGGTGTGTCTTGTCTTCTGGTAGTGAGTGCACCAAAGTTTACTCTTATCATCTGTTCTCTTCTGAGAGTCACCCTTCTTAAAATCACTTCCAACATTAGTATCTGAACTTCCTCGGACAGTTAGGGCAATTGGCTCCCCCTCTGTACAATTCATCACATTTCTTCTACTCTCTTCTGACTGAACCAAGGCATAAACCTTCTGAACTGATGGCAAGTCTTTACTTCTCAAGATCTGCACCCTGATGGACTCATATGAAGGGTTCAGCCCCAAGAGGAAGGCAAATACCCGTTGTTAAGATACAAGTGATTTGTATGCCTTTGCATCTTCATCACACTTCCAGTTAACATTCTAATAGTGATCAAGTTCTTTCCATATCGATGTCAAATCTGAATAGTACACCGAGAGACTCCTTTCCCCCTGCTTGCAAGTGGACGATTCAGCTTGCAGTTGGTATATCTTGGCATAGTGTCTCTGCTTTGAATAGGTGGACTTTGCTTGTTCCCATATTTCACAAGTAGTTTCAGCCCACATAAAAGTTTTTCTCACTTATGGCAGCATGGAATCCAAGAGCCATGACATCACCATACTATTTTCTTGGTTCCATCTATCATATTCAGCACTTCCGCTATTCGGTTCGTTCACTTTCCCATTAATGTATCCTATTTTCCCCTAGCAGTGATGTAGAGTTTTATTCCCCTAGATCATTCAAGGTAATTCAGACCATCAAAGGGAATAACAGCCATGGGGAAATTCATATCCATTCCCCCACTCACTCCATTTTGACTTCCAGAAATCCTTGAAGTAGCAGAATTCTCAGGCGGCATGGTCAACACAGATTTTTTTTTTTTTTTTTTTATCTAAAACCTCAACTTAGGATCCCTTCTTATATCAGACCAAAAAGCTCTACACACACTTCAGTTTTTTGGACATAATCTATGCACAAAACCAGCACCAATTTCTAGAAAAAACAATATGACAAATCTGATTTTCAGACCTGTACAAAATAACAGTCCTAGCCTACTAGTTTTCCAGAAGGTCCACAAGCATTAATCACAAGGGGAGATCCTTACACACAAGACATCAAGCCAACAAGTAGAGAAAAAAGGTCATACGTGACTACAACCACCTTTCACAGGTACAGGATCACACAATCCAAAACAAACAAAGGTCCTCACAAGGGTTTGCCGACATTTAGTGGTTCAGATCCATTTGTTTTTCTCTTGGTACACGACCAAGGGAAGAAAAAGACAGGAAAAAATAGGGCGATACCAGTTGCAGATCTGATTCGATCAACCCAGATTTACTCCTCTGTTCCGCCCAGATTCAGCAGCTTGGAGAAGACACTTGATCACCCAGATTCAATGGCCACGCTCTGATACCATAACAGAAGAGAAGAGAAGAGAAGAGAAGAAGGAAGAAAGGAGAAGGATTAGAGGCAATGGAACAGTGCTGGTGGCGCCATCTTCATTATAATATATAGGGCGAAAAAATAAGAAGGGAAATGACCCTTGTGCCCCTACTAAGTAAAGTTACAATAACAGATTAAAATAAAAAAGCTTTAATCAGCCAAACAGACCCTAACAAAATAAAAAACAATTTATTTCAACAATGTTGATCATTTGGAGACCTTTGCACCGGTTGCTAAGATGAGTTCAGTTCAAATACTCTTGTCTCTAGCAGCCACCTATTCATGGGCCTTATTTCAGCTTGATGTTAAAAATGCATTCCTCAATGGTGATTTGCAGGAGGAGGTATATATGGACATCCCAACTGGTTTTTATGAAAATGTTGGTAAAGGAAAGGTTTGTAAGCTGAAAATATCATTGCATGGTCTGAAACAGTCACCTAGGGCATGGTTTGATTGGTTTAGAGGGGCACTTATCCATTTTGGGTACACACAAACCCAGTCTGATCGCACCTTTTTTGTGAAAAGGAGAAATGCACTTGTGTCAATTTTGGTTGTGTATGTGGATGATATAGTAGTTACAGGAAATGATCTGAAGGAGATTGATGCTCTCAAGAAATCATTACAGCAAGAGTTTGAGATCAAAGATCTTGGTGATCTAAAATACTTTTGAGGTTGCAAGACTCAAACATGGGATTTTCATCTCTAAGAGAAAGTATGTACTGGACCTACTATGGGAGACTGAGAAGTTGGGAACCAAACCAGTTGATACTCCTATTGACCCAAATCATAGAATTAATGTTGTGGATGGTGAGTTGGTTAAGGATGTGGGGAGATATCAGAGAATGGTAGGCCGACTATTATATTTGTGCATGACACATTCAGATATCTCCTATGCTGCCAGTGTTGTGAGTCAGTACATGCATGCACCTCGGGTTCAGCACTAGGAAGCCATTGAAAGAATACTTGCATGCCCGAAGAAGCACCCCAAAAGTGGTATTCTTTCTCAGACCATGAAAATTTGAAACTGGAGTCCTATACAGATGCAGATTGGGCAGGTTGTTTAGATGACAGGAGATCTACATCAGGGGTATGTACCTTTGTGGGTGGAAACTTGATTTCATGGAAGAGTAAAAAATAGGTAGTTGTGGCTAGATCAAGTGCAGAGGCTGAATATAGATCCATGGCTCATGGTGTTTCAGAACTACTTTGGATTAGGTCCCCATTGAGTGAGATTGGGATAAAAGCAGTGGAACCTATGATGTTATACTGTGGCAACCAAACTGCAATCGATATTGCCCACAATCCAATTCAGCATGACAGAACAAAACACATTGAAGTTGGTAGGCACTTCATAAGAGAGAGGGTAACAACTGGAGAATTTTGCTTGCCTTATGTCTCTTCAGAATTGCAGTTGGCTGATGTCCTCACTAAAGGAGTTGCAAAGAACAAGCTTGAACATGATCTACACAAGTTGGGAATGTGTGGCATTTATTCCCAATTTGAGGGGGAGTGTTGAGGATTTAATTAGTTTTGTGCAGATTTAGCAGTAATATTTTATATGTTTATTGTATAGATAGGAAGTGGGGACCACAACACTCTTGTTGGGCCCTTTGTTGATTGCCTTTTAAGTGTTTTATGCAGTTTTAGATGCTTGCCACCCTATAAGGGCATATTTGTCAATGTACTCCACTTTATATTTTTAATATAAATACTAGTGAAGGGGGCAGCCAGATTAAGAGCTCTCTTTTCTCCCTTGAACCTCTTCCTCTTCTTCTTCTTCTCTCTTCTCTTCTTCAAGAAAACATCTTTTCTTTCACAGATTTTTTAATTCAGCAAGATTTCTACTCTTTTGCTGTCTGCTGGTCCATATGGAGAGAAAGAAACAGCCAAACAGGAGACTATTTGAAGACAGTCAGTGGGAGCTAGAGAAGGTGGTGGAGTCCATTGGTAGGGCTGTCACTGATTGGGTGCTCATCTTACTGGATTTTGCTCAATATCCATGTCAGATTTAGGGTCTAACTTTTGGAGAGTAATTGAGATCCAAGAATGTAATCTGGAAAGCTTTTTGTAATGGTTTGTGGTGTAATCTCTACACCAGGCCGTAATATTTGGTTTTTATTTTAATAAAATTTCCTTTTTCTGTTATTATGAAAAAAATGAAAGTTTCAAGTTCTTGGATGTACATTGACACTATAAGGAAGCATGGTTCTTGGCATTTGGCATGGATACCTTATTTAGCTGGGTTCCAGGGTATGCAAACTCCCTTGCCAGAAAGGAGTCAACAGGGTTGACTTGTATTGAGGGCCTGTGATGGGGGAGTGGGCGGTTTTTTATTGTGTTGAATGTGTCTTGCTAGTTGGGTGATACAGGCTAGATTCAGCCTTGTATTTCTTATTCCTTTAAACACATTTTTCCAACTCAATAAAATTGGTGCTGATCTATTATGATAGAAATTCTTGTACTTTTTTGTTTTCTTTTTTGGTGTCTTTCTTAGCCTCTTATCTTTTCTATTTGTAACTTTTAACTTTCTTAATTAAAAATAAAATTATTCTCTTACTGATAAAAACTAAAAAATGAAACCTCTAAAAATTATGTATTAAGCACAAGTCTCCTGTAAGTTATCTTAGAAAATGTCAATCAGCTAGCTATGTGGCTATACTTTTATTCTGCTTTCTAGACTTGCTAAGATTAATATGTTGTCAGGACATTCCTGAAAATTGTAGAGTTTAGTTACTTTTCTTTATATGATCCAACTTGCAGATTGTATCCAAGAGTTTATCTGAACCAATTCGTTCTCACAAGGACCTAGACAAAGATTCTGCTCCATTTTACCAAAAAGCTGTTAAATTCTATGAGGCATTATCAAAGCAGCTTGTAAATCAAGGACATGTACTCGATTTGTTTGTTTGTGCTCTTGATCAGGTACTTTTTGCCTATATATCCTCTAATGATATGCTGGACAATGTTTTAATGGTGATAATCTAGGTGATATATGATAAATGATGCATAAGTTTCTGCAATGCAATTGAATGCAGTACAGTATTTATTATTGTTTGGAAGCACCAGTAAATCCCATCATAATTGAAAGGCTCAAAAAATTATATAAAAAACTGAAGGGAACATATTGAAAGGAAACTGAAGAGGGACAAGCAACTCCTAGGGTGGATAGAACTCAGGACAAAAGAGGAAGAAATACCCACCCACTTCTCCATATTTTATACATGCAATATCTAGCATTATTAATGGGATGAGGCAATGGCTAGTCATTTTGGCATCCTTAGTTAATGTGATAAACAATGACTAGTTGGTACCTAGGTGCTGACTAGAAAAGGAATGATTTAAACTACAAATATGCAATAAAGGAATGACTAGTTGGTACCTAGGTCACAAAAAGATACATCCTAAACATAAGATATTGATGCAATCTCATGTATAGGTTAATATATAAACTACAAATATGCAATAAAGGAATGATTTAAAAAACTTAGTTTAAAGTCTTTGTTTAAAAAATATAGAAAAGGAAGGTTGGATAGGCTAGAATAAGGAGTTTTTTTTTTCATTTAACTGTAATACTTTATTAATTTATAAAAATAATAGGTGATTTAGGCTAGTCCAAGCAACCCACAGTTTGATTTAGGATAGTCCATCTACCTAATCCATTAAGATCCCTTTTCTTTGATTACACACAACAATCAGCTCTGCTATGAATAACGCCCCAATACAGTCAATCCCTGTTGACACTCCTTGCTAATGCACCTGTAATTCCATTTGATGACCTTTGTGTCCACATGAAAATGGTTTAAGCTCCCTTGGTAGATGTCTTATTTCTCTCAAAGTGTGCCTATGCATCCACAATCCTGGATTATTATTCTTGATTTATCCAATAAATACCTTTTAAGTCTCCTTCCTCTTAACAAATTGCTGTGGTTGAGTGCTTTTCCTAATTTCAATCCTTGGAGTGCTTTTCCTAATCTAAAAATTCCCTGATGCTTGAAATCCTGATTGCCCAAACTACAAGTTTAACAAGGTGTATATAGTCATCTATCAATACAAAGGATGCCCAGAACCGTCTTAAGGAGAAGACATGAAACATCTTTATTAATCCTAAAGTCACACCGGAATTATCTTATGTTAAAATAAGGAAGAAAAAAATCCCCTCAATGATGTGCATTCTTTTTGGTCTTGTTGAGTACATTAAAGTTTCCATGGGCGTTATTCTACTAATCATTTTATGAAGTATGTTTCTTCAGTAGCGGACTAGGAGTCAAGATGATTGTGGATATCACTTTGTTTCCTAGGATCTTTATAACAATCATTTCATAAGTGCTGACTGCTTTTTTCCGAACTTATTTAAATTGTTCTTATATTTTAGTTATGCACTCGTATATATATTTCTTCATGATTCTTTCACGATCCATTGTCATGAGATGCAGTAACACTCCAAAGGTTTTATAGCGCACTTTCAGAAATGGAAAATCCATCTCCCTTAGTCTATCTTATTTACATTCCTTGGTTTGACACAAGGTCACTGTTGAAAGTTTGAAACTGAGCAGCTCTTCTGCATATTGGCATTACTCTCCAGGTTGGATTGGCTGAACTAAAAGTTGCAGTTGAAAGAACTGGAGGGCTTGTTGTGCTTGCAGAAAGTTTTGGCCATTCCATTTTCAAGGATTCACTTAAACGCATTTTTCAGTCAACTGAGTCAAATTCCTACAACCTTGGTCTGTCATTTAAGTAAGCCCTACCCTGGCTCATTGGATTTTTTTGTAGAACCGATACTGATTTTTTGTGAGCCCATGCCTATGACATCATATCCCCCTTTCCCAGTTATAGATAAAATAAAATAAAAGAACTTTCTTCTTTCTGTCGAATTGTGTTTTACATGCATTCTAAAAATAGTCCCCATATTTTAATAGATAATAATCTTTTGGGAATTCCAAAAGCATGTTAGCAAACTCCTTGGCTGTGGTCCAGTGAAACAGAGAGCAATGAGAAATAAGTTGTTTTCAGGGTGTAATCTCTCTGGTTGGGGGCTTGTAAAAAACTAAAAGGTGTACAGTGGGGAGGGCTACCTACACTTTTGGGGTGCTTGGTACACTATTTGTAATCATTTTTCCACTTAGTTAATAAATCTTAAACTGTTATCAATCAAATAAAAAGTCATGTTAGATTAACAAGGGACCATGAGCTTGATAGACCTATTGGTTCTTGGTGCTTTTCATTTTTCTTCTATTCAAACAGGCTTACCTTTATTTTTCAACAGTTTTGTTTTACTTTATGCTACACCAAATATTTTCTTGAGAACCAACACCAAATGCATAATTATTGCAAATGGATGCTGTCCTTGTCCTTTCTTTCTCAAGGCATTAAGTTATCATAGAAGTACAATTACATGCTCATTGATCATAAGCATTTTGAGGCATGTGTAAGTTAATGGTCATTTTCAATGTATTTGTAGATATGAGGTTTATCTTTTCCATATCTATTCCAATATCTATAAGCATTTATGTATGGAACACTTAAATGTTTCTTACTAGTTTAACTTTGATTGCAGTGGTATATTTGAGATAAACTGCTCTAAGGATATCAAAATACAGGGTGTTATTGGCCCTTGTGCATCTCTTGAAAGGGTATAATTTAAAGCATCTTACTTGTCCTTCCATTGCAATTTTTTTGCTATATTTTTACTCATAATTTTTGCCAACGTCCACAGAAAGGTCCTTTATGTTCTGAAACAGTTGTTGGTCAAGGAAATACCAATGCTTGGAAGATGTGTGGCCTTGACAAAGCTACATCTTTATGTTTGCTATTTGAGATTGCAAAAAGGGATGGTGTAGATGCTATCGGACAACCTACAAACAATCAATTTTACCTCCAATTTTTGACTTAGTATGGACTCTGTGATACTGATACAGAATTATGAGATTTAGACATAAATTTGTGTAGTGCAAATGAAGTTTTTCTCATGCAGATATTGTGCTCCAGTTATCAGCATAACAATGGCCAAATGAGACTTCGTGCTACAACACTTTCAAGGAGATGGGTTGCTGGGCCTGGTAGTGTACAGGCAAGCTCTCTCTCTCTCTCTCTCTCATTTATTCCCCCCTCCCCCTTCAGACATAAACAGGGAAAGAATCCATGGAGAACGAAATCAATTTTCTGCCTATTCCTTATCGAGTGGCAATCTCATTACTTTTTGGTATTTTGAGTTTTTCAATTTATTTTCTAGTTTTTTTAACTTAAGATTAGATTTAGTCATTTTAAAGGGTCAAATTAGTTTAAATAGTTTAGAGAGCTTTTAGAATTTTGAAAAGGTGAAGATGCAACTAAATCACTTTTTCATTTAGCCTATTTTTCAGAGGTTCGAAGTTATCCCTTTTGTTTGATTTTGGTATCATTAAATGGATTATTAGTTAGCTATCCAATGAGACCAAAATCTTTTTCTTTTTCTTTTTCTTTTTCTTTTTTTTTTTTTATCAATAACAGTCAAATTTTAATGTGAAGAAGTCCATATATATACAAACCAATGAGTCCAAAATCTTGTAAATCTAGCATTCTTTCAGTGTGTTGTAACCATTTTAGTGATAGTGTCAGTTTCTAATGGAGTTTGAGTCCTTTTTTTTGGGTTCGGGGGGGGGTTCTATTTTGAAGTTGTTTTTGGTTCCTTTAATTCTACTGGAATTATTAGTGTGTTATTAGAGTTATTTTGGGAACCCAAGTCCTTATTTAAGTGCCTTATCGATTGCATATGGTTTTGTCTTGGTCCTAAAGCAAATAATTCCTTATGTTATGATCTGAGATTGCATCCAATGTAACTATCAAAGAGGCCCCTCCTATTAGGTTCTATCCAAACCCAGTGCATAACCCAGATTCAGGCCCTGCACTAGTCTGACACTTTCTTCTCTAATGGAGTCAAATTTGGACCTCAAAACAGGAATTAGTTTCATCTGATCCATTTATATATGCACCTCCAGTACCTGATGGCCCTGGATTCCCAAGAGAACAGCCATGTATGGGCAAATCTTTTGCTTCTCACATTCTATAATGTAACTTATGCTTTTTATCCTATTAAAATATAGAAATACAAAGGTATGATTATCACTTTCCTATGGACCTGGATCTGATATTACCAAAATACCTGTATATATCACATGGCATGTTTTGAGGATAGGATATGTATCACATCCACCGATCTCTATCTGTTTCCTTTGTCCTAATTTTTACATGACTGGGTACACCAAGTTATTTGAATAAATATCCAACATAAATTATTAATAAGTCTGAACTTGAAGCTATGCAATATCTAATGTTCCTCTTTCTTATTATTGAATTTGTTGTTATGACCAATGTTTTAAAACGCAGAGGCGTGACGTGAGGCGTTCCACTACCTAGAGGCGTGAGGCGTAGTTCAGAATGCAAGAGGCGTAAGCCTCCCCAACACAAGGAGGCGTAAGCCTCCTTAAGAGGAGGGGGGTTAGGAGGAGGATGAAGAGGAAGGGGGGATCTCATTTTTTCTTTATTTTTAATAAAAATCTTTTATATTAAGAAAATCTTTTCTTCCCTTCCCTTTCCTTTCCTTTTCTTTCCTTTTCTCTTTTTTTCTTCTCTTTCTTTTTCTTTCCCTCCCCTTTCTTTTCCTTTACTTTCCTTTTTTTTCTTTTTTCTTTTTTTTTTGTCTTTTTATATCAGAGGCACATGAGGCGTATGCCTCTAGCACGCCTCATGAAAAAAGGGCAAGAGGCGTACACCTCAGAGGTGTCAGCGCCTCTGGCATACGCCTCAGGGCGTTTTGGGAGTAACTCCAGGCGTACGCCTCCCACACCTTTTAAAACACTGGTTATGACATTTGCTAGGGATTTTTTGGTTGTTTTTTATATTGTGGGTAATATCATATTAGAGACTTTCTGTTTGTACAAACACTTCTCATTCCTCTTTGGGGGATTTATTTTGGTGAAAAGTTGTTATCCCAACACCTTTTAGCTTCTTATTGCATGTGGTTTTATTTTATTTATTTGACAGTTTGAGGTCTACCAAAATTAAGTACATAAAAAGGTTATAGACCCAAATACAAGGACTATACATGATTAATGAGATAGAACCATGTATGACATATACATTGTTTAGTCCTTTATACTCTAAAAGAACAGTCTTAAATAGTGTTTCTGTTTCCTTAAATAATCAAACTTCAGACACTGGAAGGCTGAAACTCCTTTAAAATTGACTCAATTTTTCTTATCACCACTGTGATTGGGTAGCTTATTCTATCAAAAAAGTGATGATCTCATTCCTTCCCTAGAACAGAGTTAGGTTCCAGATATTGACCCATTCCTCTGGGACAAAAACCCTTTTATTGGCCAAGATGAGTTTGAGGATGCCACTCCTTGGAATAGCCCAGTATTTAGTGAAATGAAGTGGTAATGGAGAATGCAGCAACAGGTGAGATACATACTTCTCCACATCTACACAAATAACTTCGTTTAAAGTCCTGCCTCTGTAAGATGAGATGATTGATGGTCAAGATTTTATCAAGTACCATTATGCACGTGGGCATTAGCTTCCAAGATCCACTTCCATGGAAACCCGCCTGGGGCTTTATAGAAAGATTTGACCGAAAAAAGGCCATTTCACTATCATATTCTACCTTACCCCTCTCTAATTTGTGAAGGAGTTCTGCTTAGGTGTTCCAATTTCCAAAAGATCCAGTAGGAGGTGAGCTTCCTAATCATGTACATGATATCAATATCAGAAGCACGTGGTCAGACTATCTCCCTTCCAAAAACATCATAACTGTCTCCAGTGCATTAGGTTCTTTCAACCATCCTGTGGAGTAGCAGTGTAGCAAGAAAGCAGAACACAGGGCTGTGGCCCCACACCATGTGTGATGCCAATACTTATTTGTGATCCTTTACCTGGGATGTGAGAAATGCTATTTTTTTTTTCAGGGAAGCAGAGAGGCTCCCATTCAAAAAACTAGACCTCCATACTCAAGCAGAGGAGGCAAAGAGATGATAGGTTGATTCATTATTATATTTACATAGAAAATAAATTGGGGGACTAAAGACCAAATTTTGCTTAAATGTTGATACATTTCATAGGCATTCATTTATGGTGCACTACTTCCAATTGAAAACACTAATCTTTGGAGGAGTTGGTTATAGATTTAACTGGAAAGTCATTAGGGGTTCCTAGCATGAGATCCTTGAATGCTTCTCATCACAGAATGCCATACACTGTTCCTTTCACAAGGTTCCTTTTATATTAATATTATCATATTCATACTTTACCCATCATAAGAAAGAGCTTTTCACATACAAAGTGGGATCATCCTTCTTAATCCATGATTTCTACTTGTAATTTTAGGCCATATTGACAATACTAAAACCTCCTACTATTAACTCAGCTTGTATCCTTTAGTCCCCTTTAATAGTTTCAATCAATAGTTTTTGCATGATTATAGATCTCTAGACAACATCAACTACTTTTTCTACTGGACAATAAAAGATATCTTTCTATGCACAATTCCACTACCAAAGCTTATAAAAAATATCATCAATGATGCAATGATGATGATATCTGAACACACTTCATTTAATCTTCGTTTTGATTGATGTATGCACCATTTAGTCCCCTTTGCAACTAATAGTCTTTGCATGATTATAGATCTCAAAAACAATGCCAATTATTTTTTCTACTGCACAAACTTATCAGGATGTATCTTTCTGCTACATGAATCCTTTACTGATGTGTCAAAATATGAGGCCTTAGCTTGTATATTTCCATCTATTGTGACCATATCCATGTAATCTTTGCCACAATCTTTGTAGACTGATCTTTCATGAAATTAAAAATAAATCTCTAATAATAATTTTAATTTAACCTAAATGGTAGTCATTCAGGGAAGTTGAAACAAGTACATTTGTGGAGGTGTTTGTTTCACATATTGAACTATGAGGACTCGACATGTAACCCTTCTGTTTTAACACTTTACATAATAATAAGTCTCATGACTATAGTATACAAAGTATGAGGATATCTAACTATGAAAGAGTTGTGAATCCCACTTGTATAAATCCAAAATAAATCAGAAAAGAAAGAGGAAGATGGAAGAGAAAAAGCGTAGAAGAAGAAGATGGAAGAAAAAGGAAGAAAGGGAAGAAGAGAGTCAATCGAACCTCTCTCTAGTCCCCCATAATGATCTTTTATTCTTTTGATTGTAATATGAATACAATTACATGAATACCCTTAGGAGGGTGGCTAACACTAAAATCAATAAGAAAAGAAAGAAAAAAGCCCACAAATAAGGTCCACTAATCACAAACATAAAACATAAATATAACTAAATAAAAAGAAGGAAATAGTAGAAATATGCTGAATTAAAAAAATATGAAAGAAAAGTAGTTTTTTGAAGAGAGAAGGAAGAGAGAAGGAGAAGAAGAGAAGTTGGAAAGAAAAGAGAGCAATAATCTGGCCGCCCCCTTCACTATCTGGTCCCCAGCTTCCCAGTCTCTCACAGTAGGTCAAGTATATACTTTCTCTGTGAAATGAAGATCCCATGCTTGGATCTTGCAACTTCAATCCCYAAGAAGTATTTRAGCTCACCAAGATCTTTGATCTCAAATTCTTGCTGCAATGATTTTTTGAGATCATCAATCTCCTCCAGATCATTTCCTGTCACTACTATATCATCCACATACACAATTAGAATTGACACCAAAGCAACTCTCCTCTTCACAAAGAGGGTGTGATCAGACTGTGTCTGTGTGTATCCAAAACGAATGAGTGCCCCTCTGAACCTATCAAACCAAGCCCTAGGTGACTATTTCAGTCCATACAGAGATTTTCTAAGTCTGCACACCTTTCCTTTACCAACATCTTCATAAAATCTTGCTAGAATGTCCATATATACCTCCTCCTGTAAATCACCATTGAGGAAAGCATTTTTGACATCAAGCTGGAACAAGGGCCATGAATAGTGGCTGCTAGAGATAAAAGGATACGAACTGAACTCATCTTAGCTACTGGTGCAATGGTTTCCAAATAATCAACACCATAGGTCTGAGTATACCC